TGAATTACATGTGGCCTGCTTCTCAGAGAGAAGTTGTTTGGGGCGGGAGCCGAGGCGGAGCATGTGCTGCAGTGAGCAGGAATCCCTCCCTCACCTAGTAGGAACCATAAATATCTCCCTGTCTATGGCTGGGAATATATATATTAAAAACATGCTGTCAGTTGGGAGTTTATGTGTGATTCTGGGCTCCTTCTGGCTGCTGGAGCTTCCCCTCTTAGAGCTCCGATGAAGAGGCAGAGGCCTCTTCGAAGCACACACGTGTGCACACGCACACACTTGTGCAAACAGGCAGGAATGGGAGAGGAAAGGGGGCCAAAGAGAGGGAAAGCGAAGGAGAAGGAAGGACAGAGAGAGGGGCACGGAGCCAAGACAGAGCAAAATGAGACCAGAAATAGGATTCCAGAGGGAAAGGCGAGGAGCTGAAGAAAGGAAGTCGGGGACTTTAATAAGAACTGAGCAGAGGTAGAGAATGCACAGAGCTGGGGGCGAGGAGAACGGCATTTCAGGGCCTTCAGGGCTGTCCCAGGAGACACAGAACCCTGAGGAAGAGAGGGTCCCATACTGCCAACCTCTGGCTGAGCCTGGCCTAGGTCTGGGTGCTGCACGAGGCCTGCAGTCTACAAGCGCTGACCAGGGGGGTGGGGGTGACCGAAGCCATGAGGGGATGGAGGGAGAGCAGCCTGGGACCTGAGAGCCAGTCCCATTTCAGAGCCTTGCTCTGCGGAGCCCACTTGGTCTCACACCTAGGAAGAGTCCAGATTCGTCACCCGCCCCCACTCAGTCCTGCCTTCTGCCCCGAGGTGTGGACCGCATGAGTACCCCAGTCCCAAGAGGAAGACGGGCAGCAGAACATGCGCTCACACACGTGTGACATGAGCCAGCCTGAACACACCCCTCGCCACCCTGGTAGCATCAAGGACAAGTGGCAACCTCCAAAATTCTCTCCATCCCCTAAACCTGGACCAGGCAGAGGCCTGATGCCTGCACGTCCAGGCAGCCGTCCTCAGACAGTGGCTGGACTTGGTTTTGAGGAAGCTGCACTTGATGGGCTGAGTGGAAAGCAGCTTAGCGCACAGGAGGCACTGTCCGGCCCTGGGCACCCAGGTGCAGGAACGTGTCATCTCGGGACTGAACGGAGGCAGCAGTGCCTCTGGCCCCTCCGGCCCCTCTCCAGTCCCTCCAGGAAGTCAAGGCAGCCTTTGTCCCTGAAGAGAGTGGTAGGCCTGGGGGCTGGGGTTCAGTCAGGGTGGCCCCGAGCTGGGAGTGGGTGGTGAGGGTCCCTACGGCTCGGTCTACCAGGCTGGAGAGAAAGCCAAGGCCGGAAATGTTGCCAGGGGACGTGTCCCTGGAAGGCTGGGGAAGCCGAGCGACAGCCTCGGGGGCGTGGGCCGGGCGGGAGAGGATAAAGGATGGAGCCGGGCACCTGCCCGCCTGGTGCCAGCCAACATTTTCTCTGCCCGTCCACCGGCCCACAGGCCACCAGCTGGCCCATTGTCCCCAGTGAGAAAGCAGACACTGGAGGGGGGCTCCCGTGTGGCAGGAGCTCACTCATGCACGCCTGCCTGGTAGGGACTGCCAGGGGAGAGCCCCCACGTGCTGGGCTGGGGCGCGGGGAGAAGGGGGGTGGCCAGGGGAGGCGCCCTCATGGCGCAGCAGTCAGAGCTCCTCCTGTGCTGTTGGCAGGGGGCAGTGCTCAGGGCCTGCGAACAGGAGATAAAGAGTTCAGGCAGAGGGTTTTCTCTCACTAACCGTGGATTTGTGTGTTTGTTCAGCTGGTGGCTCTGATAAGCCCCATTCTGTAAGATAGAAGCCAAGCAACCATGAGGCGGGGCCTGGGGAGGGGTGTCATAGAGGGGCCTGCCTTTCTGTGTCCCAAGGCCTGGGGCTACTCCCTCCCTTCCCCAGGGAGCCTGGACAGGGAAGGGGGTCAGGCACTGGGGTGTCAGGCTCCCCGGGGTGCCAGCCTGGGGCCGAGCTCCTGGTCCTTAGGGGCTGTCCAGAGCAGGCCCCAGCCGGAGGGCACAGCTCGCAGGGTGCCCATGGCTTCAGGAAGCTGGCCTGGCAGGCTCTTACCTCTGGGTTGGGGGGCATCTCCTGGCCCTCCCCGGGAGCCCGTCCAGCACGGGCCCAGCGGCCTATCTGCCCCCTCCCCTGTCTGCCCAGGGTGTACCTCCAAGCTGACCGGCGGGCAAGGGCCTGCCCCCAGCACACCCCTTACTGTCCTCAGGCCCCGTCACCTCTCTGGGGCAGGGGTCTCCTGGGTAAACAGCTGAAGCTCTAGGTCTGGGGGCAGCCTGAGGACGTGGGGCTCAGCCACGCGGCGTGGCTCACCGGCGAGCCCTCAGCCTCGTTCCTCTGACCTCCTCGCGCCGCGCTGGCCAGGAGGGGGAAGGGGCGCCGCCTGAGCAGGACTGCGGAGCCCCGGCCCCAGCTGCCCGGCCGGCTGGGCGCAGATTTCCAGCGTCTCTGCTTTTTGTCCCGGAGCCGCGCCGAGCGCCCCGGGGCGGGCGGCGGTGGCCCGGCCGGGCCGCCAGCCGTAAGATGGCTGCCAAGGGCTAAGATGGCTGCCAGCAGCGCCCGGAGCAGCGCCTGCAGGCGCGTGGCAGCGGGCCTCGCCCGCCGGAGCCCGCTCCTGCCTCTCCCTTGCATGGGGCTAATAGTGATCACAGCAGTCACGTCTCAGGGCAGTGTCCTGCTTCAGAAGGATTTCCTGTCTGCCGCGCTCTCCTGCAGCCCCATTTGTCTCTGCCTCTCGCGCTGGCCCACCTCCATCTCTTTGTCGGGTTCTCCCGTCTTTCTGTCCCTGGGCTGGGTGTGCGCGTGCGCGCGGCGTTCTGTCCCCACCTGGCCACGTCTGAAGGGCTGAGACCACTCTTGATAGGATGGCCTCCTACCATCCCCTCCTACACCACTGTCCCTGGCCTGGAGGGCTCTGTGGGGACTGAGCTGGTCCAGGGACAAGTGGGCCAAGGCTTTGCAGCAAAGCCTTGACCGGGTGCGGCTCGCTGGGCTCCACACGCAGGTCCTGCAGCTGTGTGCTTTCTGAGCTGTGAATCTGGGCAAGGGCGGCCCTGAGAGACATTGGGCTCGGGGCACTGGTCCACGGAGGCCCTACGGTGGGCCGCCTACTGCCTCAGCCCCTTGCCTGCTCCCTCCTCAACCCCTTGCCTGCTCCCTCCTGGGGCTTGAATCAGACCCAGAGAGTTGGGAATGGGCTGAGGAGAGAGCAACAAGAAAATTCAGGTGCAGAGAGAGATTGCCCTCCCCCGGGGGCGTGGGAGGAAGTCTTTCCAGAGCAGAGTGCCACAGGACAAAGAAGTGGCCTGGGGTGGAATTCGCCATCCCTAAAACCGCTGCTCGGGTGGGTGCAAAGGGAGGTGTGGGAGGACACACCCCAAACACAAGGGGGCGGGCGGGGGTGGGGGGGTCCTGTTATCGTGATTTGCGACAGGATTCATTATTATTATCATTTGGAATTTTTAAAAAGTAGAGGATGGCTAAAAAGGTACTTCCCTGATGGTCCAGTGGTTGAGTCCACCTTCCCAATGCAGGGGATGCGGGTTGGAACCCCGGCTGGGGAACTAAGATCCCACATGATGCCAGGAAACTAAGTCCATATGCTGCAACAAAGGTTCCGTGTGCCGCAACCAAGACCCAACACAGCCAAATAAATATGTTAAAAATTTTTTTTTTTTTTTAAGTGAAACAAGATAAAAGATGGGGGAAGTGGGGCCTGAAACTGTCCTGGGGCAGCCTATCTTTTTCCCACTGGCCACATGGATGCAAGAGGCCAGGAACTTGGCTGAGTCATCGTGGGGCCTTAGCTCTGAGAAGGCTACTGTTCTGCTCACGAGCCCCAACACCTGGAGCTCTTCCTTATTTCCCAAGTGGCTGCAGGATCCCCCCACTTCTATCTCTTGGGCCCACGTCACTCTTCAGGAACCTCCTTGCTATTCACTCCCCAGTGTGAGCGGTTTGACCGCAAGGTTGGTAGATGGCCTCCGTGGCAAGCGGGCCAGCTGTAGGGTGGCGGGTGAGACCCGGGAGGCAGGGTCACTCCAGAGAGCGGAGTGAAGCCCAGGCCAATGCCAGGGCCCAGTTTTCTGAGGCCACCCCATTGGCCCCCCCACAAGCAGCTGATTCTTTACTGAATGTCTGCCTTTCTCCTGCCCCACAAGCTGCCCTGGCCCCCTCCGCCACCCTCTCGCCAGCTGTCGTGCCCGGGCAAGCGTTCTGGAGGTCCCCGTTGTGCCCCTGGCACACAAAGCTTTGAGGACCTGGGGGGCAGGGGCGGGGGGCTTTCCCAAGCTCAGCAAAATATTCACACACACACTCCACCCTGCCCCCAGCCCTCTGTGAGCTCCCACCGCACAATGGGCCCTTGTCTCAGGGCTCCCTCCGAGCAGCTGTGGCACTGGGGCATGAGACAGCCCAGACAGGCTGGCACAGAGCGGGCGACAGCATCAAGGCAAATCTCCCCCCTCCGTGTTGCCAGGCGCTGCCTGTATGCATAAAGGTGAGGTGGGGGTGGCGCAGGCAGGCAGGATTGGCTCTAATTAATGAAGGGAGGGAAAGGGCTGCTCCCTCTGGAGCTTGAGTGGGGTAGAGAACGGGGGACCCCTGGGTCCAACCCAGCTGTGCAAAGGGGCAGTCAGGGGCTTCCCTCCTGGGCGCCTCCTTGCCCTGAGTCTCGGCCAGGGCTCACTCGTGGGCAGCTCACCCCGGGCACTTCAGGCAGTGTTTGGAGACTGGGTTTTGGTTGTCACAACTGGGGTGCTCCTGGCATCTACTGGGAGGAGGCCAGAGACGCTGCCCAGCACCCTACAGCCTGCAGGGCGGCCTCGCCACAGCAGCAGGCTTTCTTTCTCTCCTGGCCTCCCTGGGCTGCTCAGGAAGGGACGGGGAGAGAAGGTGTCCACAGGGCTGGAGGGGCAGCTGCCTGCCTGCTGAGCATGGGGCACTTGGTCTTGACCCATCCCCACCCTTTGTGTCTCCTGCAGAATCCGGACAATCAGATAGTTCAAACCAGCAAGGAGATGCGGACATCAAACCACTGCCCAACGGTCAGTGCCCCCTGCCCTCCTGCCTGAACCCAGCCTCCCTGGCATGCTGTGTCCACCACATCCCCCAACCTGTACCCTTCTCTGCCCTCCGGGGCCAGGGTGGGCGTGCACCTGCCAACCCCTTCACTCAGCTGTCCCTTGACTGAACAGAGGCTGCTGTTACATGGGGGAGGGCACGCATGGGAGCATACCACTCATCCCTGGAGATCTGAGGACCCCTGAGGGCCAGCCTGGGGCTGGGACACCGGTCATGGGATGGAACAAGTTGAGGGTGGGGCAAGATCGGGAGAGACAGGCAGACAGCCCCTCCTGGCCTTGCCTGACTCACTCACCTGCCCTTTTCCCTCCTCAGGGCACTTAAGTTTCCAGGACTGTTTTGTGACTTCCGGGGTCTGGAATGTGACGGAGCTGGTGAGAGTATCACAGAGTGAGTCCTTCCTCCTTCTGGGCCGGGGTTGAGTCCGCAGGGATGGGGGTGAGGAGGTGGGACTTGGACCCCATGTAGCCCCCCACTGATGGGGTTTCAGGTGGGGAGGGGGCAGACAGACTTCCTGGGACACTCTTGGCCTCATTGGCGCTGGGCTAGGTGGAATGGAGGCATTGGAGAGCCCCACCTCTAATCTCCACTGCTTTGGAGGGAAAAAAAAAATTATAACCAAGGAATCTTTCCAACAAGCTTCAGCCAAGAGGAGGTTTCCTCAGCAGCCTTCACAGTGAACTCACTCCAGGGCTTCCGGGGGGCTGCTCCCAGCAACGAAACAGGGGCCCATACTTTCCAGACCTCATCACACTCTCCCTTCTTCCCAGCTCCTGTCGCAACAGCATCAGGGCCCAACTTCTCGCTGGCAGACCTGGAGAGTCCCAGCTACTACAATATAAACCAGGTGACCCTGGGGCGGCGATCCATCACCTCCCCTCCTTCCACCAGGTGAGCCCCATGCCCCGGCCTTCCCCCAGCCCCGAGACATTGCAGGTGCTTCGGGCAGGGTGCTCCAGCTCGTTACCCTCCGTTGCGGGCGCTGGCTTCAGAGCCCAGGCCTGCTCTGCGGCCCACCCCTGAGCTTGGCGCTGGCACAGGCGCTCAGCCTCAGGGACACAAACTCAAGCGAGGCCAGGGCTCTGCCCGGAAGGGGCTCCCTGTTGGGAATGGAGAAGTCCTCTTTTCTGGGGGTGTGACCTCTGAACCCAGACAAAGGGGGGCTGGTACAGGCCTGGGGTGGACGCTCCAGGCAGAGAGAGCAGCCTCCATCACAAATGAGGCTGCCAGGACTATCCCACAGTGGGCTTCACAGGACAGAGGAGTCAAGGAACAGAGGCTGGGGATATGTGTTCTAGAAAGACTTCTAGAAGCAGTGTTCGTGGGCAGGATGGTCAGTTAGAGGCTCTCCCACCAGGCTGGAGGGGAGGAGGCCCTGAGTCAGGTGGGGGATCGGCCTGAGAGGGAGGGGTGGAGTTGAGAGCCGTTTGGGAAGTAGGTACAGTGCATTCCAGTCAGAGCCAGTCATGCAGGACAGGGTGCGATCCTGTCCTTTTAAAAAAAAAAATCGAGTATTTTGGTTCATTGTGAGGTTCAAGTATTCATTTTGGTATGTTAGAATATTACATTAAAATGTTATGATATCTCCATAGTTAATCGTATTTTGGTATAAAATAACATACTATCGCAGTGACTGAGTTTTGCGTCACCCCGTGGTGTTTTGTCCCTGGCCAGTGCCTCACTCACCCCCTCTGGCCGTGGGAGCTGACTGGAAGTAGCAGGCAGGCTGAGGAGGCAGCTGAGGGTTTGGCCCACTTCTTGGGCTCGGGTGGCTGGGTAGATGGCGGTGGGTGGTCTTGTGGACTGAGAAGGGGCTCAAGGAGGAGGGGGTGGGCTGGGCCCTGGGGGCTCTCAGTCTGACCTGGGCGGAGGGCACGGAGTGAGTGCCCTGAGATGCTGCTGACAGCGGGCATCAGTGCAGGCTTCCCGGGTCCGGGTCCCAGTCCGACCACTCACCTGAGGCCCACCTGACCCCTCTCCTCCTTCCCCAGCACCACCAAGCGCCCCAAGTCCATCGATGACAGTGAGATGGAGAGCCCTGTCGACGACGTCTTCTATCCTGGCACAGGCCGCTCCCCGGCAGCTGGCAGCAGCCAGTCCAGCGGTTGGCCCAACGATGTGGATGCAGGTACGGGCGCCACCGCAAGGCCCAACCTGGAGTGCAGGCGGTGTGCAGCCTGCTGTCCCCCTCAGTTTTACCTGGCGAGCCTCCTGTGGTGCCTCCTGCTGCAGGCAGCACCGCCTGTCCTCTCCCAGCCCGCTCTTCCAGAGGGGCACAGGCCTGGACAGCAGAGGCGAGCGGGCAGGTTGTCACGTGTGGGCAGTAGGACCCACCGGTGTGGCAGAAGGAAAGCCCTGGCCCTGAGCCTCTGGTGCCCTGCAAGGGGGGCATGGCTTCCTCTTCAGAGCCTCCTTGTCCTCCTCCTCCTCTGGGTATTTCTTCAGGGAGGTGGCCCCCGCTCTACCATCTTCATGGTTTAAAGCAGGTTCTCAGACTGGGCGTTCATGAATGTTCCAGGGCCACAGCATTGTCTGCGGCCGGGCCATTTTGTGCCCTGTTGGGTGTTGGAGTGGCAGCCCTGGCCTCTGCCCACTTGATGCCAGTAGCAAACCTCCTTACTAGGTGTGGTGGCCAGAAAGGTCTCTGGGCGTGGCTGTGTCCTGCTGGGGACAGAATCTTCCTGTGTCTATAACCACTGGTCTAAGGAGAGGAGCACAGCCTAGCAGCGAGTGAGCAGAATTGTTGCCAGGCCTCTTGATCCTCTCACCAGCCCCTTCCTGGTGAGAGGAGGGGCTCACCAGGGGGCTCTCCTGTTTTGACGGGAGGTGTGGGCACACCTGGAGAGCCCAAGTGGAGCAGAGGGAGAGAGGGCCGTGTGTGTGAGTGTGTGCACGCACATGTGTGTGGTGCACAGGTGTGTATAAGGAGGCTGCCTGCAGAATGCTTCTGCCTGACACGTTGTTGGTGCAGCCTGTGTGTTACCTTCCAGGTACGGGGGCCTGGGGGCCAGGTAGTGCAGACTTCTGTGTGGGACGTGTTCGTGTGGTTAGGCCTGGGGACGGAGGCCTTGTTCTGTGCTGCAGGAAGATGAGGGTCGGCCTGAGAGTGTTTTCCTTGGTGTCTTCCAGATGTTGCCATACCAGGAAGGGCCAGGCAGATGGGCAGGGGCCAGGGCTGGGGGACAGGCAAGACCGAAGGGCAGGGAGGGGCTTCTGCTTCCCTGCTGCCCTGGAGGCAACCTCTGGCTTTCGCTCTCTGCAACTTGGGAGGAGGAGAGGAGGACTCACCTCCAGGCCCCCGGCTGAGGGAGAGGGCTAGACCGCCAGCAAGGTCTGCCCTCTGCCGACCAGTCTCCTGCACGACTCTGGGAGCCCCTCCCCAGGTGTCCTCCTGGCCAGCAGGGACCTGAGCCAGCAGGGCACAGACGTGGCCCTGGGGGAACCTCTGGAGGGGCAGAGAGAAGGGGTTGAGAGGCCCTGAAGAATCCCCAGCTGAAGTGAAGTCTTTCCTCAGGGACTGGTGTGCCTGGAGGGCCGTGTCCACTGCTGGCTCCTGAGGCGTGGGCCGCCCCGAGTCGCTCCACCCAGACCTGGCTCCCCGGAGCCTCCCCTCCGCAGCTCCGGCTCCCTCCTTTCCTGGCTGTCTGCTGTTGAGCCTGCCATTTCCGCTCCCGCCGGCAGTCCCTCCACGCATGGCCCCATGTCCTCCTGTGGCATCCCTGGCTCCCTCGCTTTTCCCCTCTTTTCCTCTATACTCACCCCCTCCTCCCACCAACACTGCGTTGTTTCCCTGTTCTGGGACAAATCGCCAATTAAGCAGCCCAGCTGCAGGACTGGGAACAGCTGGGGAGGTGCTGTGTGGCCAGGGGGACAGCTGGGCGCAGCTGGTGGGGGTGCTCCCCGCCCCCCCGGCCCCGCATCGTGCCAGCTATCAGGTGGCACACAGCTGCTGCCAGATAACACCTCTGCTGGCGGCTGGGAGTGCGCCCTTCCCCCGCCTCTTCCCTCTGTGGTTAAGACAGCTCTTATTTCTCTCTTCTGCAGCACCCCCCTTCCGCCCCCAGTACACACACCCCACCCAAACTGATTCGATTCGTGTTCCAAAGATGGCAGCTCTGGAGGCCTGCCCCGACTGCACCTTATCCTCCCAGGACAGGAGACTGGCTCCCCTGGGGGCCCTGGCCTGGGCGCCCTGCTTTGTCAGCCTGCTGGATGTCCGGCCCACTGGGCACAGATGTGCTCTTGGTTGGCCTCGTCAGGCTGTTAGAGGCGAGCGCAAATGGGGCGCTCTCTGTGTCCCTGTCTCTTGCCAAGTGCCTCCTCCACCTCTGGTCCTGGGAGCAGAGCAAAGCCCAGGAATGACCCACCCTGACCGTCAGACCTCTGGGTGCCTGACCAAGCGCAGCCTTTCCTGGCTCCCTCACCCCCAGCTCCCACCCTGGCCCTCCAGCCTCCTCCCTGCCCCCTGTCAGATTTTGTTTCTCCACCGTGGTCCGAAGGGCCCATGGCTGTGCCTTCCCGTCCCGTAAGGAGCCCTGGCTTCTTCCTGGCAGAACGTGACCTGTAGCCCAGGACCCCATGGAGTAGACCCCAGCCTGCCCCTCCGCAGGGGCCTACTCACTCTTTTTCTTTTCCTTTGACGGAGACCTTAATTTCCCCAGTGGAAGCACAGTCTTAGCCACTGGGCCTCCAGGGAATTTCCTGGCCCCTCACTGTGAAGCTCCCCAGGGCTCCTCCTGCACACCTTCCCTGCCCTCTGGCCCTGCCTCTGCGCTCTGATTCTGTGCACCTTGGAGCTCATAATCTGTTTGTTAGGGGGCAAGATGGCCCACCTGCTCACGCCCTGCCCGGCACACCACAGGGCCTGATCTCCCTCACCTGCCAGCAGCAGATGATCTGCACTCAGGGCCTGAGAATCAGGCAGCGGAGGCTGGGGAGCCCTGAAGGGAAGGGGGGCAGCCAGGAGGGGGCTGAGGAGAGAAGGAGTGAGCTGCTGGCTTCCCGCCTCCCCCGCTCCCTTCCTGGCCCAGCTAAACCTGCCCCGTGTTGCTGATTCCTCCCCTCAGGCCCGGCTTCTCTAAAGAAGTCAGGAAAGCTGGACTTCTGCAGTGCCCTCTCCTCTCAGGGCAGCTCCCCGCGCATGGCTTTCACTCACCACCCGCTGCCTGTGCTTGCTGGAGTCAGACCAGGTGAGAAACGGAGGGCCCGGAGGGGGGCAGCGGGGGTGGCAGAGGAGCCCTGCCTGAGGGCTAGCTGGCCAGGGAAGCCTGAGTGACAGCCCCCGCTCTCTGAACTGGCCGTGGTGTGGCAGTGGGTGGGTGTGGGGACGGGCCCCCCTCCACAGCAGCGGCACCTCCTCCAGACCCAGGCTGGCCCTTGGGCCTTCTCACCGTGCCCCCCACACGCTCCCACTTGCCTCTCACGCCCCATGTGCCGGGGTGCACGCTGCTGTGCGCTGTGTGTGCACGTGAGGATGTGTGTTTGCTTATGTTCATGCGAGGGTGCTATGTGCATGCGTTTGATGCACGTGTGCTCATGTGTTTGTGCGGACGTGTGCACGTGTGTGCTGTGTGCATGCGATGTGACATGTGCACACGTGTGTTTTGTGTGGCGCAGGTCTGTCCTGAGGCCTTGAGCCCACTCCTCCCAGCTCTCCTTGCCTCCCACCAGCTGTGGATGGGAGAGCACAGGCTTCTCCTTCTGCCCTCCTTCCAGTTTCTCTCAGCGCCCCAAAGTGCCCAGGGTCTGTTTTCCCTGGCACCGGCCCACGTTACTCTGAGGGACCCTCAGAGGGGCCCAGGCTCCCTGCTCGAGGCCTCCCCGCTCTTTTCCAGAAGCGAAGGGCTAGGCCAAGGGGAAAGGAAAGGAGCCGGCAGACAGCCTGCCAGGGGCGGGGGGCGCGGGGTGGACACTCTGCTCCAGTCTGGCAGAGAGAGAGCTGGAGGGGAGGGTGCCGCCAGGTTCTGGAGGGGATGGAACCAGGTGGGAAACTGTGGGCGCCTCTTCCCTCTGGAGAGAGGCCTGGACTGTTTCTGAACACTGCCCTGTGTCTGCCCGCCACCCCGGGCCCTTGCGTAGGACACGGAGCACTCGGAGGGTCACCCTCCTGGCTTCCTCCTCAGGGCCTCCTGGCTGGGAGCCAGCAGCGGGGCAGGGCGTGGTGGCTGCAAGGTGGGGGTGGGGAGCCCAGGCCCTCCGCACAGGCAGGGGAGGGCGGCAGGCCCCGCTCCACTCAGCTTTTATGAACTCCAGAGAGAAGCCAAGTTTCTTTAGGCCCCTAATGAAACCGAGAGCAAGAGTGAGCTGATTGGAAACAGACAGGCTAGGGAGGACTTGGCTGGGGAAGAAGTGGGGCCTGCTCCGGGGTGGGAGCTGGGCGTCCGGGGAAGTGTGTACGAGCCGCGGGCCCGAGCACAGAAGAGTGTGACCCAGCAAGCTGCAGCCAGGTGCACGTCCAGCCTCATGCGGGGCGTGCGTATGCTCCGTGGAGGCCCCTCTAGCGCTGGCACGGGGCCGGGTGTTTGTCCAGAGCCCCACCGAGTGGTCTGCCTGCTCCCCAAGGCTCCCTCCCAGGCCCTGCACCAGAGAGGGGTGTGTGAGGCACTGACTGGCGCAGAACGTCAGGGAGCACCTGAAATCTCAGTCACCAAAATTTATAAATAATATTAAATGCAATGTTCTAAAAATTAAAACAATTGCAAAAAATACATGATGAGCGAATATCAGTATTTTAAATAAAAGGACTGATCTTGTAATTGCATGACCCTGTCTCACCTCACAGGGCTTCCCAGGTGCCGCTAGCGGTAAAGAACCCACCTGTCAATGCAGGACGTAAGAGATGTGGGTTCAACACCTGGGTTGGGAAGATCCTGAGGAGGAGGACTTGGCCACCCACTCCAGCATTCTTGTCTGGAGAATCCCATGGACAGAGGAGCCTGGCAGGTTACAGTCCATTGGGTTGCAAAGAGTCAGACACAACTGAGCGACTGAGCATGCACACACGTCTCACCTCATCCTAACTCTAGCCCTGATTCCAATCAAACTTTATTTATAAAGAGAAGCAGCTGGTCTCTGGGCCATCCCTAGTTTTGCCAATTCAACTTTTTAAAATATTGCATTCAAATGCTATTTACCTTGACTTTACTGAGTGTTTTTGGTGCCATCTCACACACCTTCACACTAGCAGTTGGCGCCTCACTCTCCCCACCCCGGCCCCTGCCCTGCTCCTGCCCCGTTCTCTGGACGCAAAGGGCTCTGACCAGCAGGGCTCCTCGGCTTCAGTGTCCCTCGCCATGGCCTTCTCGGCCCTGACGATACCCTTTCCTTCCTGCCGCGTGCACGCAGGGAGCCCCCGGGCCACGGCGTCAGCGCTGCACTTCCCCTCCACGTCCATCATCCAGCAGTCGAGCCCGTACTTCACGCACCCGACCATCCGCTACCACCACCACCACGGGCAGGACTCGCTGAAGGAGTTTGTGCAGTTTGTGTGCTCTGATGGCTCGGGCCAGGCCACCGGACAGGTGAGTCCAGAGGACCCCGCGAGCCCCCCTGCAGCTCATCTTTGCGTCTGTCTGTCTGTCTCAGGGCTCACAGGGAGAGGGCCCCAAAGCCGGGAGCCCACCTGGGGCTGGAGCAGCCATGAGCTGGGACTACCGAACACCTCAGTCTTCTGGGTCCGGGGGCAGGGATCCACGTGTCCGCCCGGGGCCTCTTCATCCCGGTCCAGAGAGGACGGGGCAGTGGCTGGGCCCACCTTGCTTGGGCTCTTTACCCAACTCTGGTCTTTCCCCATAGCAGGAGTGGACCAATGATCTGTCCAATCCGGGCCCAGACCCCTTAGCTCCTGACACCCCTCTTAAACCTCAGGGCTGCAAGGATTCCCTTGCAGCTGACACTGGGGCCCGTCCGTTCTCTGTGGTGTGGAATATCTGTGCACTCTGGGTGCTAAGCAGTGTGCCTGGCCCCTGCCCACTTGATGCCAGCAACACCGCCCTCTGTCAGCTCTGAGGTCGTGACCGTCTCCAGATTCAGTGTGCTCGGGGGCACCTTCCTCATCCCCAGTGAGAAGCCCTTGGGAGATGGCAGGCTCCCTTCCACAGGCTGTGTCATGAGACTCCTGTTGGTGGGACTCTTAACGAGGGGCTCTCAGGTCAGTCACGGTTCTGGAATAAAGTATTTCTGCTCCTCAGCCTGGGAGAGAGACGGCTCCCCATGGAGCTCTGTCCCCACTGTCCTTCTCCATCAGCGAGCCCTAGAGCAGAGACACAGATCCAGTGAGCAGAGAACTACCCCCGACGGCAGTGAGGCCCCCGTGACCCTTCAGTGGGACAGTGGTCCTTGTGTAGTTCCTGGGAGACCATTCCAGGCTGGGGCATGGTGATCTCTAGACCTCTGGGAATGTTCTGGAACTCCAGCAGCATACTGTGCTGTAAGAAGGCCCAGCTGCTTGCCTCCCAGTTGGTCCAGCTTGGAACTGCACCGTGAGAGGTCAGGTGTGGCGAACACTCAAAGTGCCCTGGCAGGGAAAGGCATCCAGAAGCCGCCCTGAGAGGGGGCGGCGGCCCTCAGCTGCTCAGCCTGGGGCTGCCGCAGGGCACTTGCGTAGTGCTGGTGTCTCGATGCGGGCAGGGCTGCGGCTTGGCCCCTGTGTTCTTGCTGTCCAGGGCAGAGGCCAGTCTTCTTCCCTCCCTCCTGCTCTTCTCCCCTTTTCCGCTTTTCTCATCTTCTTTTCCCCTCTGCCCTGCGAGGGTTTCTTTTGCTGGCTCTGCAGCTCCTTGGCACATGCCGAGTTTTGCCCACCTCTCTGGACAAGTTCTGTCCACTTCTAGGGGCACTGAGGGAAAAGTGGACACGATTCGCAGCAGCTCCCGTGCTTCCTTCAGAGATGCCAGCAGAGTCTACGGGAGCTGCCGGCCTGTATCCCAGCCCCAGGGGTCCTGGGTTCTGGAATCTGGATCGGAGGGGCTAGGAACCTTGCTGTTCCTGCTTCTCAGCTATGGGGCCAGCTGGGGTTTCAATTGAAATGTGACTCACCTGGGGAACTGACTTGGCTCAGAGAACCGAAGCTAACCCACAGGACCCTCAAGAGTGTGGGTCAGTCCATCCCTGGACTTCCTGACGGCCAGGTCCTGAGCCTTCCCCTTGACTTGATCACTCAAGATCAAGGGCTCAGGAAGTCCATGGCCATCCAGGGTTATGACTCCGCGCTTTCATTGCCAAGGGCCTGGATTCAGTCCTGGTCAAGGAACTAAGACCCTGCAAGCCATGTGGCATGGCAAACAAAGAAAAGATCAAGGTCTCCTTGGCCTCGAAAGTTCTCTTCTCAAGGCAGGTGCTGGCTCTGAGTAGACAGTTGACAAAAAGCTATTTATTGACAGGGAGCAGACAGCCCCTCTGGTTAAAGAGAAAGTCTAGTTTGGCTGAGAGCAGTCTCTACAGGTTTCCTCTTGTGGCCTATTGTGCCCGAGAGTTGGGTGTGGCGTGGAATGCTGCAGCGAGCCCGCTCTTCGGCGCCCATTTCCTGAGAGGAGACTAGAGATGGTCTCCCCGTGGTGTGGAGGAGGAGCCAGAGGCCCTGGGCTCTGCCACTGACATGGTGGCAGAGGGTGGGGGTACTGGACTGTGCTCGTACCACGGCCATCCCAGAGTAGGAGCTCTTGGTCTTAGCGTGTGTGAGAGTGACTTGGAGGGGAAAGGTGGCTGGGCCTCATCTAAGTCAGCAGCTCTGGTGTGGGGTGTAGAATCTGCATTTCTCCGCAAGTTCCCAGGTGACGCTGCTGCTTCTGGTCAGGGGACCCACTTGGAGAACCACTGATGTAGAGACTAGAGAAGTAAGTTATAACCTCCTGAGAATCATAAGTTAGGAACCATCTTTGCAGAAAATTACATGCATACAAAATTTTACAGTGTGCACAATGGTTCCAAGGTACCTCTTAGACCCCAGTGTAAGTTCCTGACTGAGAAAATCAGGTCAGTAAAGACCAAGGCCAAATGGAGATCCACTTAGAGCAGGGGTCCCCAACCTCTGGGCTATGAACCGGTACCTCCTGTCAGATCAGCAGTGGCATCAGATTAGAAATAAAATACACAATAAATGTAATGTGCTTGAATCATCCTGAAACCATCCCCTCCACCCCCCAGTTTGTGGACAAATTGTCTTCCACGAATCCAGTCCCTGGTGCCAAAAAGGTTGGGAACTGCTGATTAGAAGACACGCAAAGGGCAGAAAGAGGATGCCCAGTTAGCTGTATTTCTGGCATAGAAGAGAGACCAAATGAGCACGATAGAGAAGATCCGGGGACTGATGGGAGGCCATGGCTCTGGGAGGCAGGAAGCCTGGTTCCAGCTGAGCCTTGCTCTCCAGTTGCAGAGTGGCCAGGTCCACATCTTCATCTGTCAGATGAAAGGGAGGTGCTATCCCAGCTTCTAGTTTACTTCTAAGCTCTTAACTCGTGAGGTCTTAAGGCACCACAAAGTCCCAAGATCTTGAGATTTTTAAACCTTCAACTCATACCCCAACCAGAGCAGAGACAGCCTAGCCTGGTTGGGACCTGCTTCTAGGATCTGAATGTTGTAAATCAGCAGCTTTCCACATCTGGCCCTATCAGGCTAGGATTTGTTTTATCAGATGAGATTAGTGATTCAGATCCTCCTGGGGGGAGACAGGCTCTTGAGAAAGCAGAGGCCACCCTGTGGGAGCAGGGGCTGCCCAGAAGGCTCCTGTGTCCCAGCTGCCCCTGGAGCCCAAGCTCAGGACAGCCTGGAGAGGAGTGAGGCTTGATCCTGTGGGATCGTTCTACTTCCTGCCCTGATGGAAGAGCAAGATAGGAGCCAGATAGGCTGTGGAAATGAGGGAAGGCAGTTGCCACTTCTGTGTCAGCATTACCCTGCAGAGCTGGCGGCATGCTGTTGCTTGGAACCAACAGCCTGACCGGGGAGACAACGTTTTACATCAGATGTCATGGTAGCTATGGAAGGTTTTGGGGCACTGGGGTGTCTGAACTCCTCTGGATTTGGGAAGAGGGTTGATAAGTCTATGGGTCCATGGAATCAGACAAACATGGCCATGAACTTGTGGGGACACTTAAGTGGCCATTGCAGCTGGGTGACTTTGGCTAGAACGCTTAACCATGAGGAGCCTTAGTTTCCTCTGTTTTGAACAGGGGAGCGTGGAGCTTCCCTTCTCCTACGGGTTCGGCACCATTAGCCTGTGGACCACTGGGCCTTTGTCCTGGGGGTGGACCTGTGTGTTATAGGGTGGGTGTCAAGCCGCATCCTCAGCCTCCACACCCTCAAGCTGTGTCAACCAGAATGTCTCCAGACACTGTCAGTACCCCTGGTGGGGGGGCAGGCAGAAACAAGAGGAACTGCCTTAGCGATGGTTGGAGGACGGGACACAGCCTGAGTGAAGTGCCTGGTTCCGTGCCAGGTGCTGAGCTGAAGAGCATGCTGTCCGCAGAGGGGAGGCCCCTTGGAGTCTCATTTTCATAGTCCAGGTGAAACCAGTCACGATCGAAGGATGACCGAGCTGGAGACAGAGCAGGGGTGGACTCTGCAGGCTTTGCTAACAGGAGGAAGAGCCTGTGAACCTCCCATGGTCTTAAACCTGGGGGAGCTGGGAGGACAGAGGTTTGAGCCACAGGAGAGAGGCCAGTTTAGGAGGAAGAGTTCTGGCCTGGCCCCCGTGAGCCCAGGCTGCAGGTGGTCATAGAGGGCACTGCCTGGAGCAGCAGGAGGTACAAGGTCCGGGGAAGCTGTGTCTGCCGGAAGCCAGGGCCCTCTGCCCCTCTCTGTGGGGCCGGCATGCCTTGAACCCCAAAGGCTGATGAACACAAGGCCACACATGGGGCCGGGAGGAGGCAACTTAAGTTTAAGGCACAAGAGGGAGTAATGGACAATTTGTGGCCCTGGTGGCTGGTCCCGGCTTCTGGGGGAACTGGGGCTGCCAGCAATGGGTTTTCTTCTTGGGCTGCTCTGTAGCAGATAGGCTAGCATCCACTGTCCTCAGGTACATGCCCTGGCTTCCCCCTGAGGCCATGACACGGGGCGCACGCTGGTGGGCCTGTGGTCCTTGGTTGGGTCAGCTGATCCTACCCCAGGAGCCCACCCAGGGGAGGCACGTGTGTGTTTTGGGGGAGCACAGGGAGTAAGCTGGTGCATCTTTGCTGCCATAGGAGAAAGTCTTCAGAGCGTGACAGTTCAGAGCACAGCTGCTTGTATAGTTAAATGGCAAGTTTTGGTACGTAAAACCTGTTCCCTAAGAAATAACAAACGACCCGTCGGACATCCCCCTTCCTCCCTCCCACCACTTCGAAAGAGGACTATGGAAAAAAAAAAAAAGAGAAACACCTGAGAGACCAAATAGAGGCCTCACGCCCTCACCACCCCGGCACCCTGGAGGAGAGGACCCCACCCCGCGTCCTCCGCTGGGAGCGCTGCCGGCTCTCAGGAGCGAGCGGGCGTGCCCGCGCAGGGGAGCGTGTGTCTGTGTGTGATGTGCCTTCATGCGCCACTCTATTTATGTTGTTCGCAGCCCAACGGTAGCGGCCAGGGCAAAGTCCCGGGGTCATTTTTGCTACCACCGCCGCCTCCAGTGGCCAGACCAGTGCCCCTTCCTATGCCTGATTCCAAATCCACCAGCACTGCCCCAGACGGCGCCGCCTTGACTCCTCCGTCACCTTGTAAGTGGACGATGAAACCGAAACCACACGCCCAGCGTCCCCGGCCCGTCCAGGCAGCCTCCGCTGCAAAGAGGAGAGCCCCCTCTCACTGCCAAAGGCCCCCCACCCAGAGTGCCTCCCACCCCGACGAGGACAGAGCTGAGCTCCCCGACTTTGGCCTCCGGGGCCTTAGTGGCACCAGCCAGCACCCCACGAGCCCCCCTGCCCGCCCGCTGCTCCCAGCTGGGGCCCCTGGCCCAGGCCCCTCCGGGGGGCGGGAGAGGGAGCACAGTGGGGGCACCCAGGCCAGGGGTGCTGGCCAGGGTGGGCGGGGGGAGGGGAGGCACAGCCATGCCATCTTCATGCCTAACTGCTGTTTTTTTCATTTTTTTGTTTTTTCGTTTTTCGATTTTTTTGTTGTTTCGTTGTGCCCCTCCCCCCACACCAAGAAAATTAAATGTGACCACAAGGCGACGCCACCACCATCCCCTTTTTGCCTTGCCCCCCTCACCTCCATTCTGGGCCCCCAGGCCTCTAAAGTTGCAGCAGGCCAGCCCCTGATCCCCTCCCCTCCAGCCTTCAGTCTCACATTTGGTTTCTCGTTGTTCCTCTTTTTTTTTTAAACCCTCCCTCCCATCCCTCCCCTTTCCCTCAATTTCTCCCCAGGTTGGATCTTCCAAGGACAAGGAAGGGCTCTGGACCTTGGCTTACTTCATCTCTTTCTTTCTCTCTCTCTTTTTTTTTTAAACCGATGACAAATTTTGTCAAAGGGAAGAGAAAAATCTGAGTTAAGAGGCCCCAGCTAGACCCGACGACGTATGAAGGACAGGAGAGGCGGAGGGTGGGCGGTGTGCCGTCTGGGGGACTGTGGGCGGGGGTGGGCAGCACTCTGGGGGCTGGCAGGCTGTGGGTCAGGACTCGGGGACAGTGGCGGAAGGGCGGCCCATCTCACCACTCTTCTCGGCCTCGCGCTCTCTGCCTCACCTTCTTTTTCCATGGTTTGAGTTCTTTTCCCCTCTTCATCCTCTTCATGTCATCTTCTCATCTGCATTTGCCACAAGACACAAAGTCATGGCCATGGTCATTGGAGGCGGGTGGGGTGGGAGGGAGGCCCGGCTGCAGGGTGGCTGGGGGCCACTTATGGACAGAATCTGGTGAGCACGGGGTCCCTGGGGTGTATCTGGTGCTGGGGGGGATGGGAGGGGGACTCCCAGTTAGCCTGTGACACGCCTCATCCTTTCTGGGGGCTTCCTTCCTTCCAGGGTACAGGGCCAGCTCCTTCCCATAGGGCTCCAGCCAGACAACCCAGAAGAGCTCCAGAGTCTTTGGCCCATTTGCCCCCTCAGGCCTCAGAACAACTGCCCCTGTTGCCCACGCCCTGGGGCTTTGCCAGGCCCTCTGGCCTCCTCCTCCTCTGCACGTGGGCCCATCTTGGTCCCTGGGAACCGCAGGACCATAGGAGCTGGCTCATCCATCAGAGGAGGAGAATGCCTGCCAGGCCTGAGTCCTGCCACCCCTGCACCTGAGCCAGCAGCCAGCTCCCAGACCCTCTCTGACCTGTTCCACCCAGCTTAGCCCTCTACTGGGACCCTTCAAGTTTCCCAAGCCACGGGGCCAGTCCTTGGGCCCAGGGTGGTAAGCGGAGCAGCACCAAAGCAGGCACCCCTGTTGGAGCGGTGGCCCGGCTGAGATGGCCTTCTCCCAGCAGGGTGGGGCCGTCTCCCGAGCTCCCAGCCTCCTGGGCTCCCTTTTCTCCAAAACCAAGAGGCCCAGCAGGAAAGCAAGTGTTCTTACTTCAGGTGCTCTGGGAGGAGGGGACAGAATTGGGTCCACAGGGCCTCAGCTAGAGCCTCCAGGGCCACAGAAGAGCTTCCCTGGCTGCGGCGGATGGAGTGCCAGGGCTAGAGGACTGCGAGCTCCTGGTCAGTGAGAGGATGAGGGGTCCCCTCCAGCCTGGCCTTCCCGCCGCCAGCCTCAGCCCAGGCAGCATGGTCTAACCTAGTCTCTCCCTCTCTCAGCAGCCCTAAGGGGCAGTGCCCGGGTGGGCCCCCAGTCCTCACAGGGTCTCTCCCTCTCTCCCCTGCTCCCTACAGCATTCGCAGCGACAGGCGCCTCCTCTGCCAACCGGTTTGTCAGCATCGGACCCCGGGACGGCAACTTTCTGAACATCCCACAGCAGTCTCAGGTAGGAGGCCCTGCCCACCACGTGGACACAGGCAGGGGTGGGGGTCTTCCGGCGTTCTGGAGGAGGCCAGGGTCCTGGGGCAGTCGGGAGAAGAGGCCGGGGCAGGGCTGGAGGGCTCAGGCTTTTGCACGCCCAGCTGAGCCTGCCTCCCCAGGCAGCCCCCAGGCCCCCTGGCTAATCAGCTAATTGGATAATTAGCTCTGACAGCCCTGGCCCTGGGGAAGGCAGCCAAGGACCCAAGGCTAGAGGCGCTCTGGGCCAGGCCTGGTGGAAGCGAAGGTGGAAGTGGGAGGCTGTATCAGGAGGACAGGGTCTGCCTGGTTGCTTTCCTTCTGCTCTGGGGCATGTCCTTGCCCCAGGCCCTCCCCTCTCCTTGGATTTGGGTGGGCCACGTGCCCAGAGACTCTGGCACTGGGGGTGAGGCACGGCCCAAAGCTGCCCCGGAGGTACCTCCCCCACACCCTGTGAATCCTGTCAGAGGGGTGGCCAGGCTATTGGAGCCGCTAGTCCTGCTGCCATCTGCCCGCAGTTCTCACAAGGAAATGTACCCCCCAGTCCCGCTGCTGGAGGCCCCTGGACCAGGCTTTGCACAGTTGTCTTTGCACCCTGGTGCACGCAGGCCTCCTGCCTTATTCCTGTCCCTAGGAGGCTGGCGCCCGCCTATAGAACCCAGGGCGCTCAGGGCACAGGGAGGATCAGCCCCAGGAGCAGAGGCCAGGCAGCTCGTACAGTGTGGGGCTTCTGGAGAGTAGAGGGAGAACAGGCCAAGATCTTTTTCTTTTGCACATTCGACAAAAACACCGCCCTGTGAGCCCAGGGCCTCGGAGGCTTCCTTAGCCCCCGGGCCACCTTTTTCAGCTCCCGCTCTCTCTCTGCTCTGAGGCCCAGGTCCAAAGAAAGTTGGTGGATGGAAGTTTTGTGTGTGTGGTTTAAGGTTTTGTTTTTTTCCCCTTTTCCTTTCCCTCCCTAAAAAAAAAAAGCCAAAAACTTTGTTAGACTTCAAACTTCAGAGCTCCCTAGTGGCAAGGAGGGGAGGGGAGGAGAACTTCAGCCCCCTTCAGCTTCCCACCCCCTTTCCCCAGAGTCACGTCTGACCCGTCTGGTTTCCAGGAGCAACCAGACATGATGTAACACCCAGATGAACTTGAACTTGGGGGTGTTGAGAAGAAAAACAATGGCTTCGAGCAGGGGCTGGAGCCAGCCCCCTCCGCTCTGTGCCAGGGAGGCTGCGAGAACCCTGCTGGTAGAGGGCAGGAGGGGGTGCCAGAGGAAGGGGCAGCAGGCGGGCCTCCCCTCCCGGCTCGGGGCTGGCACCAGGCGGCAGGGCTCCAGCGTGCCCGCCTGCCCACCCTCCCTCCTCCTGCTGTCCGCCCTGCAGCTCTGCGTATAGTATGTTCGTGCTTGCTCACTCTCGGGGACCACTGCCATGAGCCCTCCCTCCCCGTTCACCCCATTTCCGCCTCCACATGCTCTCCCTGCTTCACTTTCTCCGCTCACTTTGGTTGGATAGTGGGGCCAACTCAGAATCTGAGGCATGTTTGGGAAACATTTTTTCTTCCCCTGGTTCCTACATGGAGCCTTGGGGCCCAGGGCCCTGAGCAGGCAGGTGTGTCTGGGAAGGGGGGTTGGGGGGCCAGAGGAGTCGGACAAGCTGATCAGGGAGCCCTCAGGCCTGGGGGCAGGCAGGCTGCTGCAGCGGGTGCAGGGGGTACAGTGGGGGGTGGTTTCCACAGTAACCAGTGACTTTAGCCGATCTCTGGAGCACCAGATGGAGAGAGAACAATAGAATGAGGGAAGAAAAGAGAATTTTAGCAATTTTGTCATTCCCTGGGCAGCGCTTTTTACTTAGTTTTAATCAATTTTGGACCTGGCTCAGGAAACAGGGAGGGGTGAGCAGAAAAAGCCACTCCGGGCTTGGCAGCAGACCTCCCGTTCCTGGGACCCACAGGGCGGCACCAAGGAGTCCCACTGGAGTCGTTTTTGTCCCTAACTCTAGGCCTGGAACCGGAACTGGAGTCTTTCTCCCCTGAGCACTGATGGTTGTCCCCCCCATCCCCCACTGCCGCCATGCAGCTCAGGAGACCCCCACAGGGGCCAGCCCGGGGCCTTGGTCTGGCCTGCCACGGGCAAAGGGGCCAAACAGGCCCTCCCTGCCCCGGTGCCCCAGCCTCCTCCCTCTCAGGAAGGGGGAGAGGTGGGCTTATAGGCAGGGAGGTGGTGTAAGGGTGCCAGTGTAGTCCCCCCTTGGCGTCCCACTTAACACCTGAGCCTGCAGGGACCAGGGGCTCACCCGGGAAGCTCCCCTCTTCCTCGGGCCAGAAGCCTGCTGCTGCAGCCTCCCTCCCCCAGCTGCTCTAGGAAGGCCTCAGTCCTGGCTTCTGCCCACACCTTAACAGGCCCCTCTGTGCCTCCCTTTGGCCTGAAATCAGTTGATGGGGTTGGATTCTGGGTAGGGGCTCCAGGGGCTCCCCCACAGGAGGGCAGGGCTCCTCTGTGCATGCTGTCCACGCATGGCAGGAAGGGTGGTGTCTTTACCTGCCCCGTAAATGGTAGCAGTGCCCCCAGTCACCGTGGCAACTGCAAACCCCCACGTTGCCAAGTGCTCCCCATCTGCACTGTCTAGTGTGGTGGCCACTGGCCACATATGGCTGTTTAAATAACTAGAGAAAAATTTAGACCCTCGGGCACACCAGACGCATTTCAAGTGCTCAGAAGCCATGTGTTGCTAGTGGCTACTGCATTAGACAACACAACTAGAGAATATTTCCATCGTCCCAGAAAGTTTTAGATGATCTCCGAGGCCCACCCTTTCTTCTTTTTTCCAGTTTTACTGAGATATAATTGACAGATAGTCTTGTATAAGTTTAAGGTATACAACATAACAATTTGACTCACATACATCAGGAAATGACTACCAGAACATGTCTAGTAAACATCCATTCACTCATAGAATCAAGGCCCTTTCTAACTCTAAAAACTTGAAGTCTCCATCTCACAGTGGATGATGGCCTGCAGTTCCAAACCAAAGCCTGACCAGGAGGCCATAATCTGTGTGACTGAAACACGTCTTTTAAATAATGGAAATTTCACATGAAATTGTCTGGACTTTCAGCTTCTTTTGAAAATTTGGCTGACCTAGCCACCCTAGGCCCTCACCCCAGTGTGGCAGCCTGGGCTGCAGCCTTGGCAAGGTGTCCTGGCCACCACAGACCCTGCCTCCCTGGGAACGCGCCACACCTAAGCAGTGAGGGGCATGGACTGGAAGCCGCCCCTGCATTGCGTGCCCGGCCGTGCGGGCTGTGTGGCCTTGGGCAGGACAGCCACCTTCCCCCCACCGGCCTCTGTGCAGGGCTGGAGTGGGGGTGGGAGGCATCCGAGCCCTGCAGTTGGCTGTGCTTGGCCCCTGCTGGCCTGAGTCTGTGGCGCAGCACCTGCGAGAGACCCCAGGGTGCATTTTCAAGGACTCCTTCAATTTTGCCCCAAGGGTACCACCAGGCACTGTAGACCGTAGAGGAGTCGCCACCCCCCCCCCCCATCCCTCTGGCTCTAAGGTGGGGCCAGAGCCTTTTGTGCAGGGCACTGCCAGGCAGCCCAGTCCCGGGGGCCCACCCTGGCTGCATTTATGGAAAGGCGGCGCCCCCTGCTGGCATCCTGAGGGAAGCTGCTGCCCACTGCAGGAGCCTCAGGTTGTTCCCCAGGGCGTGGTGCCCACTGGGCAACTGACCCCTTCCCCTGGGCCTAGCACTGTGAGGGACAAAAGTCATGTGGTACCCAGCCCTCCCCAGCCTTTCAGCCTGTGGGACCTTAGCTGAGGTATACAGATGGGAATTCCTGCTTTTAATCCAAAGAGACAGAAAGAAAACTCAGCAAGAAGCTGGGCTTCCCCCACCCCACTCCCCAAACCCCTCTGGGGACAAAAGCTGCAGCCTGGCATCCTCCTCCCCTGCTCCAGGACCTACACAAAAACCTAACAATTGGAAACATGGCCAGATCCCAGGTCTGTGCCCGTGCCAGCACCAGCCATGGGGGTCCCACCCGCTGGGCACTGTGCCCACGGGAAGGCCAGCTGGACTCCAACACTGGAGGCGGGTCTCTTGGGGGAACAGGATTCCCATAGGAGGGACCCTTGCGGGAGGTGTTGGTGTCCTTGACTCGGCTGGAGCTGGAACGCCCCTGGGGCTTCAGGCACCAACCTGGAGTCCCAGGACCAGGTAAGGGCAAGAAGGCACCGACCCCTGCTCATCTCAATATCACCTCTTTTTTTGTTTGTCCTATTTCAGTCCTGGTTCCTCTGATAAGATCAACAAAAGAAATGACAAAATGAAAAGAAGAGGTTCCTCAAACGGGGGGAGAAGAAATTTTGAGACGTGGAAAAAAAAATCCCCCAGCCCAGCCCAGCCCCACCGAAAAGCAAAAATTAGACGTCGTCAGCCACTCAGCCCTTCTCTCCTCCAGCCCGGGGACCCCTGCAGGCCCCCAGAAGCAGCTCAGTTCTCAGAGAGCCTCGGAAGAGGTCTCGGTGGAGCTGTGCGCCAGCAGCCAAGCAGAAAGAAACATGCAAAACGGACTCTGTCAAGTAGAGGACAGAAAGAAAGGATGCAGAACTGCCTTCCTCCCCCCACATCCCGTCCCGGCCTTCTGGGGAAGAAGCAAAATCCCCAAACAAAGCAACCAGCACAATTCTGAAGGGGCCTGTCCCCTACCCTCACCCTTCCCAGGGGAACCCCACCCTTGACTCCAGCCGGAGCTTTACTTGGGAGCTCAGAGGACCAGCTTGTAAAGATGATGGGGTGCAGACCCCGAGGGCTCTCCCCTGCAGACTCCACCCTCTCCCTCCCTCCCCCGACTTCGCCTCCGGCTTCTTCGCCTGGACTGGGTGAGGCAGGGTAGCCTTGAGATCCCACCGCCCCTTCCTCGGGCTAGAAGTCCACCCCTCCCCCACCCTGGCTCGGAAGGGGGCATCTTCTGGAGTCAGTTTCATGCTTCCAGAAAGGAGGGTGTTCTGCCACCCCACCCCGAGCTGCAGGGCCAGTTCCCCAGGTCCCAAACCCCTCTGTACAGTCCATAGGAAAAAAAATCGGAATGCTCTTCCAGACGGCCCCTCCCAGCCCGGGACAGGTGCCCTCTCCTCTCCCTCCCGAGGCAGGCCAGGAGGTCGTCGTCCGGACCGGCCACGAGTGAGGGGAGCTGGGCCCCCGGTGGCGCCCACACCCCGGCCCCGCATGCAGGTGCCCGCGCTCTGCCCCACCGGTCCCCGCCCCTGCCCCTCCCGCAGACAGCCCTGCCGCGGCGGGGCCGGAGAGTGGAGCAGAAAGGGGACCCCGGAGTCGAGCGAGAGTGAGGCAGCCGCCGCCGCTGCCGTCGGCTAAACCTCCACCTGCGCTAGGTAGGCGTCCTGCTCGCCGACTTTCAGTTCCTTTGAAGGGTGTTGGGTGTCGTCCTTTTTCAAAAAGTGTTTTGGAGCTTTCTCTGCCCTACCCCCCCCCCTCGCCACACCACCCCCATGGCCACTTCTCTCTGGATTTCAGCTGTAATGTCTTTACTCTTTATTTAGGGGTGGGGCATTCATTGTTTCGGTCTTTGCTGTTGCAATTGGTAACCCCTCCATTTGAGCAACTTGGGAACAATTTGATAACACACCGCAAGAAGTAGCTCTTTCCCCCCCCTCCTCCCCACCGCAGCCCCCTCCTCCTCCAAGGGATGGTTGGGGGCATGTCCAGAGGGTCTTCAGAAGCCCCCCTGGGAGGGATGGGAGCAAGAGCACGCCCAGCCCCCCTCCAGGGTGTGACTTGGCCCCGCTGGCTTGTCTTTCTGTGCCTTACTCCCTCCTCCCCGCCTCTCCCTCCTGCGCCCCTTTCTGGAGTCCTTGTGCCTCTCTTTCTCTCTCCTTAACTGTCTGAAAACACAAAGCACAGGTCAGGATCCTCTGAAAGTCAAGCAACCCAACATTGCACCACATAGGGGTGGGTTTTGGGCTTTATTTATTGTGAATCTAGTTGGTGAGGCTGTGGCCCCAAGCGAAGGGAGGGAAGGAGGGGAGGGAGGAGGTTGGGGAGGAGCGGAGGGCCCTCACCTGGGGCCAAAGGGGCCAGCGAGCGGCCGCCTCCTCCCCCGCTGGAATCAAGGAGGTGGCTGGCCCCAGGGGTGGCTTTTGTTGGAAGTCGAGCGAAGCCCCTCCCCAATCCGCGTGCAGCCCTCGGGGAGGACCGGGTCTGAGAAGCAGGGGACGGGGGAACCCGCGGGAGCCTGGGGGTCGTGGGGAGTAGGGCGGGGGGTGGTGGGGGGCCGGGTGGGCCGGGCGTGACGCGCGGTCAAAGTGCAATGATTTTTCAGTTTGGTTGGCTAAACAGGGTCAGAGCTGAGAGGGGAGCAGAAGGGACCCCGTCCCCCTGCCCGGCCGCACGCGCCCCTTCCCTCGAAGACAATCGGGGCGGCGGGCGCGGTGGGCTCTCGGGGGCAGGGGGTCTGCGGGGCGCCCGCCCAGGCGAGGTCGGAAGCTGCAGGCCAGCTGGGCCGGGGCGGGAGCGCGCCCTATAGGGCTGCCCGGGTGGGCACGGGGGTAGGGGGCCGCTCCTTTCCTAAGTGTCGTTGTGAGGGGCAGACGAGGGCGACAGGAGATGTGGGGACGTGTTAGAAGAGAAAAAAAAAACCCACAAAAATATATATGGGGGGAATGAACTTTTTTTTTTTTCATTGAACCAAGTGCAATGCATCAGAGAGTTTTCCTATCTTTGTATGTTAAGAGATAAAGAAAAAAAATTCTATTTTTGTTGTAATGTCCTCGCGGCTCTGGGGACGCTAAAAGAACCGGGCCTGCCCCGCCCTGCGCGGGGATAACGAAAGCTGAGTGTTTTTTCCTTTTTTTTTTTTTTTTTTTTTTTTGTTTTTTTTTTTTTTTTAAGTCGTTTTCCTGCGTTGACGAGGATGATCTGGGGTTTTTATTTGCTTCGTCGTTCGTTCTCGGTTTCGGTGGGAGGGCTGAAGGAAACGTTCATTTTAGAATTAAAAAAAAAACCTCGACATTAAAAATCAACACAAGATCAAAAAGGAAAAGGACGAGAGAAAATTATTTTAAAGATAATTCAACATAAAAACCCTGGTGCTTCTTACATTATAAAGTACGTTTTAAAAAACCCACAAACTATTATACATAAGTTTATGAATCAATTAAATATTCTGCACTTGTTAGGAACACGCATATCCCTTCTTTGTTGAGTTTAACGGAACGGGACAGCGGCGTGCGCCCGGCGGCGGGCTGCTCTGGCCGCGGGTCTCCCCGGGCGTCCCTTCCCTGGGGCCCAGCGCCCCCTCCTCGCCCGATCCACGGTCCGGGCCCGGGGGCGCGGCGGCGGGTCCCCAGCCCCTCCCCCGCAGAGGTCAATGCCAACGAACAAAGGTCCCCTCCCTCCCTCAGAGGTCCCCAAAGCGTCCTTTTTGAGCCAGACGCCAACTTGACCCTCACCAGCATTATCAGGAGCGCGCTCGGCAAGTTGGTAGTTTCTTCCCCACCCCACCTCCCCCGCCAGCCAGCCTGGGCCAGCCCCGCTTCGGCCCGGGAGATCCGTGCGCCCGACCAGCACCAGCATCGCGGACCGCAAAGGCCGCCCGTCCCGTCAAACAAGTTTCTTCTTAGGCTAAGAAACGCAGTATATACGAGTATCTCTATATATAGTACTAATGGATTTGGTGTGCTTCCCCCTTAGCGTCCCCGTCCCTCCGCTCCTCTTCCTTCAGCCTGGTCTCCCCCTCTCTCTGCCCTCCACCCCCGTCTCTGCACTGAGATACATAAGAAACAAGGGTAGTTTACTGTCTGTTTTGTTTTCTGGGTTTTCAGTGTCCTAGCGGAATGCAAGTAGGCAGCCAGCCCGTACGTTCCCTCTCCGCCCCGCCCCCCCCACCCCGCCCCCGTCACTGCGCTTCTGTTATACCATCTTTGCCTGACTCTCTCCGGCTTCTCCATTGAATGGCTAATGTGTATGTGAAATAAAGAAATAAAGAAAAACAAAAGCAAGAGCGCCTGAGCCTTCGCTAACGCAATCGTGCGGGACAGGTTCGGGGTCGGTGGGATGCGGTCGCCGCGTGAATTCCGCGCCTCACAGCCTCGAGCCAGGCCGGCCACAGCCACCGTCGAGGAGTGCGGATCTCTCAGTCTCCGGGAGGGGGCGCCAGTGAGAAAGAAGCGTGTTCTAGGGCCCCTTCTCAACTCCCTCGGTGACCCCCAGCTCGGAAAAATTAGGCCCCCTTTGGGTCCTATGGCCGCTCAGATGTGTTGGTTCCCGGACCTCACCCCGCGGAAGGGGTACGCGGACAAGGCCACTTTCAGCGGGCCGTGGGCGATAAAAGGGTCTTCAAGCCCCGGGGGGCGACGACGGTCATCCTTCGGGTCCGCGGGGGCCCTTTCCCCTGTAGGGGACTCCTCACTGGTCCTTCTTCGGGGGAATTCGGTCCAGATCAGGCCCTGCGAGCACGTCGTCCGCCCCTTCCTAGATGGCCCTGAGCTGACTTCCCAGTGCCCTTCGGCTCGGAGGCGACACCGTGGAGGTCATCGCACCTCTGGGCTCACAGCCGCTTGTTCTGTCTTGATGGGTCGGCCCGCCCCGCCGCGGCTGCTGTCGGGGCCACTGGAAGGCGCGGGCTGGGGGTGCGCCACTACTTCGGCCCTGCGACACGGCCCGCGACGGACACCGCCGTCGTCCAGGCCTCGGTGCGCCGGCCGCTTACGGGGCCCTGGAGGGGCGGAGCCTGCCGCCAGAGCCGCAGCCTGGTCGCGCAGCAGCCGCACCAGGAAGCCAATGTATTTCATAGCCAGGCGGAGCACCTCGTTCTTGCTCAGCTTCCGGTCGGGCGGGTGCGTTGGCAGCAGCTTCCTGAGCTCAGCGAAAGCGCCGTTCACATTCTGCTGCCGCCAGCGCTCCCGACTGTTGGTGAACACACGCCGGGCCACCTTCTGAGGCTGATGCCCTGAGGACAGGAGTGACAGGATTGGCGCCATAGCCCAAGAGAGGCAGGCACCCCCACCTACCCTTACTTGAGGCTCCCAACACCCTCTTGGGGGAGACTTCAACACTGGCAGTGGACTGAGGCTTTCTCCATCCAAGGGATTCACGTGTAGGATCCACGTGTAGCTCAGTTAGCAACCCCCGCACCCCCTACCCCCAAGCTTCCTGGTGGTGGTGGTGGTTTAGTCGCTCAGTCGTGTCCTACTCTTGCGACCCCACTGACTGTAGCCCGCCAGGCTCCTCTGTCCATAGGATTCTCCAGGCAAGAATACTGGAGTGGATCGCCGTTTCCTTCTCCAGAGGATCTTCCCGACAGAGGGATCAAACCCGGGTTTCCTAAATTGCAGGCAGATTCTTTACCCACTGAGCTAGGAGGGAAGCCTCCAAGCTGCCTAGACAGGGCCTATCACAGGCCCAAGTTGCAGATCACCCAAGCCTCCTGTACTTCTGTCCACTCCTTTATGTCAGTGGCTGCAGTTCCCTAGGGAATGTGGCTGGGGAGCTGTCCTTGTGATTCTCATTCTGTGTGGTCCCCCTGTGTGGCTGCATGTGCTCCTGAGTCTAAGAGTTTCTTGCATCGTGACTGGTCCTGCTCTTTCTCAGGTGGCCGTGTGACCTCCTGTGTATCCACATGGCTGTGGTGTGTGCTCACTGCCTTGTGGTTGTGGTTGTGTGGCTAATTCCTGTGTGGCCATGGACCTCGGGGGGCTGTGGCTGTGTGTCTGCCTCCTGTGTGGCTGTGGTCCTGTGGCTGTCTTGTGTGGCTGTCTCTTGGGGTGGACCTTGCCTGGTGGCTGTGCATGTGAGCAGAGTCCCCATGCTGTGCTGTTTCGCCACGAATCGTTGTGGCTTGTTGGGTGACGGGGGCTGTGAAGAACTGGCCGTGGGTCTGTGGTTTTGCTACATGAGTGTAACCTGAGTACCGAGCCCGTGTGTGTGTCTGTGTGCAGTGGCATCACTTTTCCCAGTGTTTTCCCAATGGAAGGTTGTAGGGCAGACGTGGGCCCCAGGAGAGATGGTTGGGCGGACATAAACCCATACTCACCCTCAGCCAGCTCCAGCTCACAGTGGCTTGGTCTCCGCTTTAGCCGGCTGCTAGGGAAGATGCTGAAAGGTCCTGCTGGCCCAATGTAGAGGCTGTAAGGGGTCGTGGGTCACTAATGCCTTGTGGGTAACGACCCTGCCCCTGGCTTCCCCCCAGGCCCCAGTCCCCCACTGACCTGTTGAGGAATGGGTGAGGGTGGTAATGCAGGGCCAGGGTGGGTGGGGCGGTTCCCAGGGTAGAGAGTTGCAGCAGTGGGGGACGGAGGGTGCTGAGTTCTGTGGTGGCCATGGCTGCCCCTGGGGGTCTGGTGTGGCCCAGGCTGATCACTGGCACTCCAGGGGGCAGCCTGGGTGGTGAGGAGGAGCCTCCGTGGCCCACCTCCTCCACCTTTGGGGGTCCAGTCGAGGCAGGCTTTGGGGGCGGGGCAGGCACCAGGCTGGGAGCACACACCATCTTGGCCTTCTCAGTCATGGTGGGGCCCACCTCCGCCTGGGCCTCGGGCGGGCACATGGACCCCGAGGGGGTGCTCACCTGTGGGAGGAATGAAGCCAGTGGGGCGGAAGGCGGCAGATGCCACCCCCAACCCTTAGCTCAACAGAGCAAGCCCTCACCTGGAGGGAGACTGGGGTGGGGTGGGGTGGGTGGCAGTCCAACGGGCAAAGGCAGACGGGAAGTGGGCCCAGAAACTCCCAGGACACAGGAGGGGGTCTGGCATAAGGACAAGGGGGTGCCCACTGAGGTGCAGGGCAGCAGTGAGCTCAGCAGTGATGCTTCTGAGCTGTCTGTGACCCATGAGGCCTTAGTTGTGGAGCCCTTGAGAAAATTTCCCTTCTTCCAGAACCCCCTCTGGCCTAGAGCCTGGAGGGAGGCGCAAGGCAGGGAACCCATGACAGACCCTTTCACCACAGGATGCCCCCATAACCCTCAGATCCAAGACCCTTCATTGACACCATGGACCTTGCAAACTCCATGGCTGACTGACCTTCACTTACCACTGCCCCCAGGCTGACCATGGGGCCCTCAGCTATGACCCTGAGGCTCTTCTCATTGTCTCCATGTCAGACCCTGAAAGTCCTCCATAATCACTCCAGTGACCCCCTCCCCCCAAATCTCCCCCTTACAAACCCCATGACTCCGCTGCTGACACTATGACTCTGGATGTTAACCCTACTCCCCAGCACACAGTCATGCACAAGTCCTCTCTCTGGCTCTGGCATCCTCCCACCCACGCTACCCACAATCAGTAACCACCCCTTTGCACCCTGCTTCCACATCCCTGCTCACTCCTGGCCTCACGGCCTGGCATGTCCCACCAACGTCAGGGATTGCTAGCTCCTCTGCCCTGTCTTCCCTAGCTAGACCCTGGGAAGCTGCTTGGCCTCTTACTTAGTGGGCCCACCAGATGAATGAATGCAGGTGGGTCTGGGATCCCCCCTTTTCGGGCCCACTCCACTCTTACCCCAGAACTGCTGCGGCTGCCTGCAGATGGCCCTGACTCTGTCCTCCAGGGCTAGGATGCGGTTCCAGGTTCAGGCGAGATACCAGCCCCCTGCTGCAGCCTCTGTGCTCTGTGGCCCTGGTAGTCAGCCGCCCCTCTTCCTTGGCTCCCAAGGGCCACCGCGGCAGAAGCAGCGGCGGCAACAGGGCAGGTCCCTCCAGGGAAAGTGAGCAGCTCCAGGCCGCCCACCCTCTCCCCGCCTCTGGCGGCCGGGTTTCCTCCCTCTCACCCCTGGCGCAGAGGCTGGAGGATGCTGGGCCAGTGCAGATAAGGGCCTGGCTGCCTGGCCGCGCCTGATAAGGAGCCGGGCTGACCCCGGAGGAAACCCGGCGGGCGGGGATCCCCCGAGCGCGGGCCTCCCGGCCCCGCCTCCCGCCGGCACAGGCAGGACCGCCTGTCACCCTCAAAGCCTCACCTTCTGTCCCCCAGGCGCTGCAGGATCCCTGCTCCAGCACACACCCTTGGGAGTGAGGTGCCCGGTTGCATGCAGAGGGGAAACTGAGGCGGAAACGCAGCAGTCCCTATGTTACTTGGGTCTGTCCTCCAGCTTTGAATACCCCTTGTCCCGTGCTGATGGGGGTGGAGAGTCCTTTCCGGCCCTGCTGGGGCCTCGTGACCCAGGGGCCCCCTTCTCCTCCTCAGCCTGCCCGGTTCCTCTTTCTACAAGAGTGCCTCCTCGCTCTTCTGCCAACCCCACCCTGGAGTGGGGCACTGACTGCAGGCAGTGTTGACAGCCTGGCCCTGGGTGTCCAGCCTGGGCCAGTGTCTTGGGCCCCTGGTGCACCCTCCACACCGCCATGCCAGGTCCAGGAGGGTGAGAGAAAAATACCACAGCTGGGGGAGGTGCGGCCAGTGCCAGTGGCCGAACCTTCGAATAGGTGCACCCACCAGGCCCCCACCATCCGGGGCCTCACCCCACAGGATCACATGGCCCCGGCTCAGACGTCCCCGGCCTTTCTCCCAGCGTGGGCCAGTTCAGGGTGGACAATGATAAAGAGGCATTGGGTCAATATCTTGGAATGGTGATAAAGCTCAAGGTCCTGCTGGAGCTCAGGCAGGGGGTGGAGCTGGGTACAACTAAAGCAGGGACGGCCCTGCTCCCACCCCTGGCAGGCTCCCACCTGGGTCAGTCATGCTTTGCCCCGTGTGACTGCAGGAGTGCCCAGGCAGGCCCCTGCCAGTGCAGGAGACACAGGTTCAATCCCTGGTCAGGAAGATCCTCTGGAGAAGGAAACAGCAACCCACTCCAGCATTCTTGCCTGGGAAATCCCGTGTACAGAGGAGCCTGGAAGGCTGCAAGTCCATGGGGTGGCAGAGTCAGACTCGACTGAGTCACCGAGCATGCTCACACTCAGGAATCAAGTGAAACCCAGAACCCCACAAACAACCATCCTACGGTCCAGGGAAGCCAGAATAGTTTTGAATGTTTGAGTTAACTCTGGGAAGCCTACTAGATGGGCTCTGGAATTAGGTTTAGGTTCTTTGTACAGATATGATATGATGCCAGTAAGGGGTGCCTGAATGGTCCCAAAGCTACCACGTGGCAGGGTGGGGATTCTGCCCCAGTCCTCTCGTTAATGCTGCCACCCTCCCCGGCTCTGGCGGGGAAAGGGTTGCCACAGGCTGCCGGGTGCCTCAGTGTGCAAACCCAAGGGGCCGCAGGGCAGGAAGCACCTGGTCTGGAGCGGATGCAGGAGGCGCCTGGTTCCGGTCCGGTTTCCGCCACTGGGGCCCTCAGGGGCAGCTGGGCCAGAGAAACCAGGCGGCGGGGAGGAGGAGACACTGGGGCGCTGCGGGCGCAGTGCCTAAAGGACAGGTCTGAGTACTGGGGGCGCGCCCACGCTGGGAGGATGGGAAGAAGGGGAAGAGGGTAAAGGTCCCCGCGGGCGTGAGCGCACGGCTGCCGCCCCGTGGCCACCTTGGGAATCGCAGGCGCCAGCAACTCATTGGCTCAGGGGTATAGAAGCCACCTGCAGTGCAGGAGATGCAGGTTCCATCCCTGGGTCAGGAAGACCCCCTAGAGAAGGAAATGGCAACCCACTCCAGTATTCTTGCCTGGAGAATCCCATGGACAGAGGAGCCTGGTGGGCTACAGTCTGAGGGGTTGCAAAAGAGTTGGACCGGACTTATGGACTAAACAAACAAAAGCGCCTTGCAGGCAACCATTAACTGTCCACCTCCCTAATACAGACAGAAGACTCCAGTCAGAAACACTGACGGCACTGCATCAGGATGGACCAACACACCAGATGCACAGAGCTCACCAAGGGGGTTAAAGCAGACGGACAGAGGGACCTCCCTGTGGTCCGGAGGCTAAGGCTCCGCGCTCCCAGTGCAGGGGGCCCCAGTGTGAGACCCCTGGCCAAGGAGCTAGATCTTGCATGCCGCAGCGAAAGACCCCATGTGCCGCAACTAAGACCCAGTGCAGCCAAATAAATATATAAAATAGTTAAACTAAATAAAATCAATTTAAAAAATGGGCAGAGAAACAGACCTTAGACAAGGAGCTAAAGAGATGAACAGAACCCCTTAGGCAGATGGACAGAGAAACCACGGCAGCCTCCCCATTCAGACAAATGGCAGTCGGGGGAAAGTGAAAAGGTCTTTATTAGCTCACTCTGTGCCTGGCCCAGTAGCAGCCGCAGGCTCAGCGGGGTTCTGACTGGGGGCCTCTGCACAGTCAGTAGGGGTGGCTTCAGCAGTGGCCTTGGGTGAGGGGGCACTATGTGAGTAGCGGCACTGGTCCCCCTGTTGACAGGTGCCCTGGTAGGAATACAATGGGTGTGAATGAACCCCGTTCCGGAGCTCAGCAGCCTCCACTGGGTTCCTTCCCTGGATAGGGAGCTCACTCCCACCCACTTGCCTGGTCCCAGCTCCCCCAGCCCTGCCGGCCCATTGGCCCAGTCCTGTGGCTGGGAGGAGAACCCATGGGTGCTTCAGCTGGGGGTGGGGGCACCTCACCTCCTTGAACCTCTTGCAGGGAAATGTCTTGAGCCAAGCAGCCCGCTCAGCTGGGTCCTCCACCAGCTCCTTTCGCTTATTTTGGAGCAGCCTACGTCTCTCTTCCACAGATTCTCCTGCTGCCTTGCCTCTGTGTAGGGAAACGAGGGGAGGCTCCATCGGCCTTTGTGCCCACTCCCCCCAGCTAAGCCCCACCTTCACTCACCCCACTCTCACTCACCCTGGCCGAGCACGGGGCCGGGGACCCCAGTTGGCCTCAGGGTTGGCCTGGAAGCGCTTGAGTCCTCGCTGGCGGGAGCTGGGGTTGGCATCGTCCCGGATGGTGAAGTTGGCCTGCAGCCTAGGGAAATGGGAGTGGGGGCTGAAAGGCATCTGCCAGGCGGCTGGGCACATACCACCTAGGCTGCCTGCCCACCTCGGTGCAGCTCGCAGGAGTAGGGCTTCTATCATATATTTAATAAACATTTATCGAGTGCCTACAGTGGGCCTCAGATCTGCTGCCAGTAAAGCTGACATTCTAATACCTAAGACAGACGAGCAAGGAGGCAAGTCAGAAATCAGACAACTGGGCTTCCTTGGTGCTCTAGCGGTTAAGAATTTGCCTACCAATGCAAGGGACACAGGTTCAATCCCCGGTCCAGGAAGATCCCACATGCCGTGAAGCAACTAAGCCCGTGTGCTACAACTACTGATCCCACATGCTTCAACTGCTGAAGCCTGTGCGCCTAGAGCCGCAACAGGAAAGGCTACCACAATAAGCAGCCCGAGCACCACAACTAGGGAGTAGCCCCCACCCACTGTGCACAGCAATGAAGACCCCACACAGCCAAAAATAAAAAAGAAGGAAAGAAACTAGCAAATTATATCATGTGAGGACATAAGATAAGGGTTCTGGGGGAAAGAGAGCAGGGTAGAGCAATAGGGAGTCTGGGAAGGAGTGCCGTGAGAACAGGGTGGCAGGGACACAGGAAGAAAGTCTGGGAAGAGCCGTGGGGGGGCCTAAGGCCAGCACTCCAGGCAGAAGAGCCGTGCAGAGGCTGTGCCTGCCAAGTCTGAACGAGGAGGCCAGTGTGGAGGAGCGGGGGTTGGGGGGCAAATGAGAGCAGGGAAGGGGTGGGAAGACAGCATAGCGCCTGCAGACAGAACTGTGTTCCCACTGGGTCAGGTGGGAGCCACAGAGGGTTCTGCAGAGAGGAGGGCCAGGACCTGACTTGCACTCACAGGTGCCCTCTGGCTGCTGTCCGGGGAACACAGCTCATGAGGGGTAGGAGCTGGGGGACCGGGGGACGGGGACTGCATTGGTCCAGATGAGCAGAACTGCGGCCAGAGAGTGAGAGGACAGAAGCGGGTGGAGAGAGTGGATGGACTCCAGATCTCACTTGAGAAATGAGCAAGTGTCTGTGAGGGGAAGTGTCTGGGTTATCTACTCCCCGAGCCTGTAGGCAGCTGGAACCGTGCCCGCACCTGGGCTCTACGCTGAGAATGCGGAAGGCCGGGCTGCTCTCTGACAGGCGCTCCCGTTTCACTGGACACTCCTTCTCCTGGGAGACAAAGGTGAGAGGTCAGGGCACTGGCACTGACCATCCCCTGCCTCCGCGATCCCACCTGGTCAGGCCGGGCCTCACCCAGCACCGCATGATGTCCCAGAGGGCCGAGGAGGGGGCGTCCGTCTTCACGGCATTCTTACAGGCGTGGGAGAGGGAGACCCGGAAGCCAGCATGAAGAAGGGCCGACCTGGGGACCAGGAGGGATGGTGAGGGGCAGGGCTGGACCCCGAAGTTCAGTGCTGACTGATGTGTGGGGGTGTGAGCCTAATTTAAGGGACTCACAAGGCTACCAGTGACTACACTGCCTGCCTGATGCCAGCCATCCTAACAGCAAGATCCTAACATCCCCCCTGGCCAGGGCTTGTGGCTTCTAAGAACTGGTCTAAGCCCTTGCGCGTGAGATGCCCTAGGCCTGCACTATGTTTGATCTCTACTTTCCAGGGGACTGTGGCCCAGGAGGGGCCCGACTCGCCCAAGGGCACCCAGCGGGTCAGGCACAGGCTCCAGCCCAGGCCAAGCCTCACCGCAGCTGCAGGAGGCTGGGCGTGTTGCAGTGGATGGTGCTGCTCAGCTGGTCCAGCGTGTAGTAGAGAGGCACGTCCGGGAGCTCCTGTAACAGGGCCATGGGGTAGGGTGGGGCCCATCAAGGATGGCTGGCTGGCCCTGTT